GATGTCTGCCTGGCAGCCCACTGGACTACATTGCCCTCACTGCAAATCAGGCCCCAGGCATCCCCCTGCACCCCTCAGCATGCTCACCACACCAGTCTGTCCAGCAGAGCCCCAACACCCCTGGTTCTGACAAACTCAGTCTGTCCTGCCCAGCTTAGGGCAAGGGACAGACCACCCGGCTAAACAAACCAGGTCTCACACATCTCAGGTCGGGTCTCCTTACAGACCAGCCCTGTCTCTGTGGATGGGACACTGGGTCCCTGAGTCACACATGGTGAGGGGCAGTCCCTAGGGGAGCGCCAAGAGTGGCCAGGACCAGCCGAGCAGCCCACCTCCCCCCAGGCCGTCCACAGGTGGGCCAGCTTGGCAGCGGGCGCATTTCTCACCAGGGGCAGGAGAAGGGGTGGCAACAAATCCAAATCCGCCCACTCGAGGGGATTCCTGGGGGATCAGCTCCTTGCCATCGGGGCCCACCTTGCCCTGTTTGTGCTGGAACAAGCAGAGAGACTGTGTCAGGGGGCTCACAACCACCCTCCCCACTGGCAGATGGGCAGGTGCACAGGAACAAGTGGAAACACTTCCCAAGCCCCCACGAGCAGAGCCGGGTCTCTGTGGCTGGTAGCCCCATTGGGGAAAAGTAGGGAGGCCCCTGGCCCGTGCAAAGACCTTGAGGACCTGTCAGAGCAGGCCTCCAAAGAAGGACGCGCCCCCCTGTCTCCCCCTCCATGCAGGGTGGGGCTCGGCCACACCCCACCTGGGATATTTCCAGGGGCTACACTAACTATGGGTGCCTGCGCTCCGATTTCTTCCCATAAGGCCCCTGTAAGAGCCTCCAGAGCAGTCTCCCCACCTCCTGTCTCCACCCTTCAACTCCATGATCACCAGAACCGCCGTCACACGGGACTCCCATGCTTGGAAATCTGTGCTGTTTGCCACACCAAGCCCCCCTCCACAGCCTACCCACTCCCTGCTTACCCCCTCCTATGCCCAGCCCTGCCTGGTGCGGGGAAGCAGATTCGGCCAGATTGGCCTGGCTCTCAGCAGCTGACTTTGTCTCATGCCCTTGCCTCCCAAGGGAGCTGGCACCGATCTGGACCCACAGAATATGTCTGACAAAACAGAGCCCCAATGGGAGACCACATGGGTCAAGAACACACAGGACCCTGCCACACAGGGGCCCCAAATACTTCTGCACTGCTGAGTGCTGCCAAGTCCAAGAACTCAATTAAGAGGAATAGTCAAGATCAAAGAAGTCATTTCTGCCCACAGCCAGCCTGCTGCTGGCTCCCGCCACTCACCTGGGCATTGAGGGCAGCAGCCTGCTGCAGCTGAGACCTGCTCAGGGCCTGGCTGAAGGGGTCCCTGAGGAAGCGAGTATTCTTGTGCACCACCTGCCGGGGCTTCTTAAACAGCTGCTCCTCATCAGGGACGCCTGGCAGACGGAGGAGAGATGGCAGCAGGTGTCAGAGGGGTGCTCAGGGCCTGAGAGAGGCCACATCATTCCCCGCTGAACAGACACATGGAGCCTACTTCAGTCTCCACATCACAAAACCCGACAAAGCTGGGGAGAGCCTCACTCCCTCGCTGACTTCCCACACAAACCCACCTGCCCCAGACAGACCAGGACCCTCGGAGGCCCAGAATACTAGCGAACAGAGACACACGCCTTGGAGGCCGGACCCAAACGCCCAGCCCTGCCCACGCCGCCTGCTCACCCTCTGGGTAGTACATGAGCGAGTTCTTGGCCTTGTATTTCCAGGTCTCCACGCCGGCCTGGCTGCTCTCAATGGCTTGGTGCTCTGCCGACGGGAGTGCAAGATTGTCTTTCTGCCTCTGCGTCACGTAAGGAAAAGCGAGGGTCAGAGCGCCCTAGGCACTGTGCCCTGGCCCCGGGCCACCCCAACAGAGGGTGCTGCTGCCCCTGCACCCAGGCATACCTTCTCAAACTCCTCCTCGGCCTGGTAGAGCCAGGCATGGCGTGCCCGGCTCTTCTCCTTGGCCACCTCCATGATCTCCTGGAAGGAGGCGTTGTCCTCGCTTGTGTACCGGCTCAGGAAGACATCCAGGCTGGGCAGGGGCTCCTTCTCCTCCTCCTCTCCAGCCTCTCCTGCCCAGGGGTAAAGGGAGGAGGGGGGTGACACAGAACCATAAATGGTACAAACACCACTTGGCAGTCTGTGGGTCCCGGGAATCGCACTTACCTACAAGCAGGGCTAGAACTCTCACACCTGATCCTGGGTCTGGTTCTGAGAGCCCACAATGCCAGACAACTCCCCACCGGGGGCAGAATCAACCACCCCAAGTGCCCAGGGAGCCTTCAGTGGCTCTCCTCATCTGCTGGATGCCAAGTGAAGAGTGCGATCTGACTCAGACTGGAAGGGGAGCACCCACAAACAGGTTTGCCCAGGGTCCTGGGAGACATGGCAGCTCTGGAAGCCCCGGAGTGTCCCTTCCCTTGGGGTGGGGTGCCATCAGTGACCCAGGTGGGGGTGAGCCCGGAGCCCTGCCACCCACTGCAGCCATCCCCCCAAACCAGGGTACATTCCAGCTAACAAACACCAAGGCTAACAGCTGGCCCTCTATCCTTCCCCAGGATTCTGGAACCCTGGCATCTCTGCCTTCTGGGAGGGAAACAAGGCCACTATGTGCCCAAGGCAGGCCCAGGCCCCTACAGCCATGGGCTTAGCTTGGAGGAGGGGCGCTCCCTAGAGAAGCTGGGCTGGGTCAGCGAGGGCCCCTTCCTAGCGCAGGGCCAGGAGAGTCTCCTAGGGGTCACTGACCATGTGGCAGAAAGAGGGCACTCACCATCACCATCCTCCAGGCCCTGGCCTCGGCCCTGGGGCTTCTGGCCCCCCACTCCAGTCCCTGTGTGCACCTCAGGGGTTTCAAACGTGGCTGGAGTGACATCTGGGGAAAGGGAGGAAATGGGGATTAGAGCGAACCCGAGGCAACAGTTCAGAGATCGATCCCGGCTGTGCCGCCCACAGGAGTCCTCTTACAGGGCGGCGGGGGCTCTCGGGACATCTTGCCCAGAGCAGAGCCAAACTTGATGGCAATCTGGCGCATCCGCTCCAGGTCTCCATTCTCCTCGGCCTCCAGATATTCCTTCTGTGCCTGCAGCTTCTCCACGTCAGGAAAGAAGTCCCTCTGGATGACTGTCTGGAGGCCCTGTCAGGAGAGACCAGAGCAAGAGTCAGAGCTGCCATCCAGGCTCACCTGCCTCTGTCAACTGATGCACACGCTAAGGCCATTGCTGACCATCCGCCCCCCACCTCTGTCCAGCCCAACGCTCCCGAGTTTAGGGGCATCTTCTGATGAGGACAACATCCCTGCCATGGTCGGGTAGCTCAGCTGGAGCATCCTCCCAATGTGCCAGGGTTGTGGGTTTGATCCCCGGTTAGGGAGTCAACCAATGAATGTATAAGTGGGTGGAACAATAAGTCCATGTTTTCTTCACTCTCCCAAGTCAATAAATAAAAAAAAAATAGCATTTTAAAAAAACATCCCCTGTGGCTGTAACATCTAACATTGCTAAATGCTCCTGATTTCCACGAAGCCGTTCTCCCTCCCTTATTAACTGGTCATTCTCATTCGCATCTGCTGGTCCCACTTCCACACCTGCTGGACCAAGGTTTTCATCAGGTTGGTGCAACTGAAGCTGGGGAGAAGGCGGACTGCCACCTTCACTCCAACAGTGAGCTCCTGTTTCCAGTATAAGACCTCAGTGACGTCTGGGTCCTCCTTTACCTGGATGACTTCAGCCACTCCCCCCCCCCACACACACACACACCCGCCACCAGCACGAATTGTGATCCCCAGCCCTGCACCTCCAGCCAGACCTTGCTCCTCAGCTGTACATTTGTGCACCCAGCTGTCCACTAACGCCCCCTGTCTGTACAGCCTAGAACCCTCCCAAACTTAACCGGTCCCACACCAAACGCATCCTCCAATCGCCTCCTCTTGCCTGTTTGCGGTAGATTTCAAGATGCCGCCACAATCGCAGGACTCCCAGCCTTTGCACTCGCCATCACCGCTCTCTAGAAGGTCCTCTTTGCCACTGGCCTTCCAAACTCACTCACGCGTTCATAGAAACCCTTGTTTCCCTAATCCCCCACACATACGAGCAGCGCTGCCTCCTCTCTCGCCTACAACACTGCTTCCTCCATCACGGACACCCACCCGCTTCTGCACTGTGCTTATTTGGCTCTCGGACCGTCCAAACCCCAAGGGCAGGGACTGGGGCTGCTTCACCTCGGCGAGAGGAGGAGAGTGCCTCAACCAGTGGGGGGCGGGGGGGTGCCCCAGAGGAGCGCGAGGGGGGTGGGGTGGGAGGGGAGGACCCAGAAGTCGCTGGCGTCCGCGCCGAGGTCTTACCTCGATGTACTCTTCCTCGTCCAAGACCTTTTGCTTCCTCGTCACAGCCCCGGCCTCCCCAGCCGCCCGCTTTCTCCCGGGCCCGGACGTGGTGGGAAGCAGCAGGGCCCGGGGAGACGCGCTGGGCGTCTCCATCGCTATCCCAGGACTGCTCAGAAGGCGCGTCACAGCGTCAGAGGGGCGGGACTGTGCCGGCTGCACCAGCGCTTCCAACTGTTGGCCAATGGGAGAACTGCGCGTTTCGGAGGCCGACCCGCGCGCCGCAATGACGTCACCACAAGCCCTCGCCTTTATGGGAATTGTAGTCTTCTCCCCACCCCTCGCTATTCTTATGTACCTGAGCTGTGGGCACTAGGCGGCGCTGTGGTGGTGGAGGGGTTAAGGGGCGTGTCATTCACTCTAATCGTGAAAAGTTCCTGTATTAAGTAAGGCTTTGGCATCCCGATTTTTGGCAAATAATCACTGCATATGCTTCCATATTATCAACAAAAACACACACTTCAAGAATTTTGGTTATATACACGTTTCAAAGCTTTTATTAAAATTTTATGCAAAAAAAGAACTCTAAGACAATTTTTGATAGTTATTTAACAAAAGAAAAAAGAAAGCAAAATATAATGGTTCAATAAAGAAATATCTGGTTAAAAATTTTCAGGTCCCTGGGAGCGGTGGGGGGAGGGGAGAAAGAGGGCAATGGGGTACGAAACCAAGAAAATTTGAAAAAAAATTTCAGGTCCCTAAATGCCAGAGTGGGCTCCCAGGAAAGGGTTCATTCTCATTGAAGTGGACCAGAAAATTGCCTAAGCATTTTTCAGGATTGATAATTTATTCTCAAAAGGAGGTTGAGAATTAATGTCAAAAAAGTAATGTTATCCCAACATGATTTAGTACAATAAGCAGTCATTCCTTTATTCACTGGGGATTCCATGGTAATGGTTCCTGCCCTCACAGAGCTAACAGTCCAATGAGGAAGACAGACCCTGGTTAGGTCATCCCACGAACAAGCTTACAACTGCAGTTGACAGGAGCAAGAACAGAGTTTGTGCTTGAGGAATCTCCAGTCAGGGGAAGTTTTCCTGGGCAGGGGGTGACTGCAGATCCAAATGATGAACAGGCATTGATCAGGTGGAGAGGGAAAAGCATGGGCAAAGAGCAGCATGAGGGAGAAGACCTTGGGAAATACAGAGTGCAAGGAGCAGTGAGGTGTGAGATAATGCCAGAGGGGCAGGCCAGGCTGCAATCGATGGAACCTGTGGGTCATGGGGCAATGGGAAGCCCTTGGAGTGCTGTAGTCAGGGGAGAGGCAGGTTCAGACTTGCAGAGGTTATGCAGAATGAATTAAAAAGGAACCAGAGAGGATAGAGGTGGCAAGACTGAAGGTGGCTGCAACGGTCAAGGTGAGAGATGATGGAGGTTTTCATCAGGCTGGTGCAACTGAAGCTGAAGAGAAGGTAGATTCTGGGATTGTTTTTGGAAATTGAAATCAACTTGCTGTTGGCTTCTGTCTGGTTGGTGAGGGAGAGGCGGGGCCAGGGTAATTGCCTGCCCTTTGGTTCATGTACCTGGTATGTACGGGGGAAGAGCTTGCCTTCCCAGGACAAGGTGACTTAGAGGGCCTGTGGGCTTCCAGGTAAAATAATCAAAGGGACAGTTGGCCATAAATATCTAGTTCTGGGGAGAGGCCTGAGCTGGATATGTAAATGTGGCAGCTGAGAATGGAGGAGATAGACCAGGGTGAAAATGGAGACGAGAGGGGAGTTCCTGAGACTCAGCCTCAAGGATACCTACTAGTATAAGTTAACAGCCAGCTGTGGAGGTGAGCCTGCCCAAGAGCAGCTAGAGAGAAAGGAGAAGAATCAAAAAGGCAACATAGCCACCGGTCCCTTGAAGATGGAACTTTAATCCTGGCTGCCTCACACACAAAGACAAATAAACACTCAGCCAAGGAGGGCAAAGGTCCAGTAACCCAGCGAGATGAGTGTCCCAGCCAAGGCGGAGCTCCACAGGCCGACTGTGCCGTGGCCAAGGATAAGGCCGGGATTCAGGGAAAAGAGCTCGGTGACAGCCAGAAGTGTGCATGCTGGGAGGCGAGGCAACAGCTGCCGTCTTGGCGGCACCCGGCAGTTTTAGGGCGGCCCTGGCTGGGAACACCATGCCTGCTGGGTGTTGTCTGAGCTGGCCAGCCTTGGACAGTCCCAAGAGCTGCAGCCCTGACTTCTGTGACTTTTATGGAAGAACTGTGTCTCCTGCCAGATACTCCTCCCAAACTCCCTCCAGGACCTGTGAGGGGGGCAGAGCAAGGTCCTCGAGCCAGAGGAGGGGGTGTTAGGTTCCTTGGGCCCACTGTCTGGGTCTACTTGGGGAGCTGAAGTCACATTTCCACCCTATCCTCCAGCCAGGGGGCAGGATGATGGAAGGGAAAGCAGGCGTTTTCAAGGCAGTGTGTGTGTGTGGGTAGGTCTCCCCAGCTGAGCCTCCTCTTGTCCTACAGGGTGGCAGAGATTGACTGCTGTGAGGGAGGCAGACACCACATCATGGAAATCTGCCCCCCAGGGAGGAAGCAAAGGACCCCCCCACCATGAAGCAGCACATAGAAGCCAGTGCAGGCCTCCAGGGTGCCAGACCAGTACTGGTAGGGCAGTCTGCTCTGCTGAGGGGCACCCTGGTGCAGGGATTGAGTACTTACTGGACTGTGCTCCCCAAGGCAAGCTGCCCGCCCCCCTCCCTGGGAAGGAGAGAGAAGGGACAGGTCCCGGCTGGGTGTGGGAGTGGAGCCAGGGCAGACTTCGGACTCAACTTCTTTTTGTTTGTTTTGTTATCCTCACCGGAGGATTTTTAGAGAGTGGAAGGGAGGGGGGAGAGAGAGAGAGAGAGAGAGAGAAATATCGATGTGAGAGAGACACATCAATTGGTTGCCTCCCAACCAGGGCCGGGTCTCGAGCCTGCAACCGAGGTACCGACATGACAGGAATCAAACCTCTTCAGTCCAAGGGCTAATGCTCTATCTACTGAGCTGAACTAGCTAGGGCTAGACTCCACTGCTTTTGTGGTGTTTTAGCGGCTTGTTTGTTTTCCGTTGTTGCAATAGGCTCACAGGAAAGGTCTGAACATGGAGCTGGCAGCAACCCCAGGATGCACAGACGTGACCACGCACCCTGCCTCGGGGGGCTGGAGGCCAGGTCCGGGGTCACATGCAGGGTGCAGAGAGGAGGGAGGCCCGCAGGCCCAGGAAAGAAAGGATTCTAGGTCCCCTCTGGACAGCGGGCGGTTCCTGTCCCCTGGGCGGGTTAGTGCCTGGAAGGAGGGGCGTGGAAGCCGACCTGCTCTGTGCCCACCCTGCCCCCAGGCCTCTAGCCCGCAGGCCATTGGGCAGCAGAGCGCACCTGGGTCCTCGGAGTTCGCTCCTTTCACGAGCTGGCGGCGCACGGACACTCACAGGATCCTCACGCCAGGGCAGAGGAGGGCAGAGGAGGGCAGGACAGCCGCCTCTCGGAGCCGGCCGGAGGCGGCCAGGCCGAGGAGCAGCTCGCGAGGATCAGCATCTGTCCTTGGGGGGCTTCTTGGCTCCGGGCAGGAGCCTCGCAGCCACAGACGCCCGCTTCTGGTGTCGCCATTTGGCCCGGCGGTTCTTGAACCAAACCTGAGGAGGAGGAGCTGCTCAGGCAGGACCCGCGTGCGCCGGGCTCCCAGAGGTGCGGGTCCCGCCGGGCTCCCAGAGGTGCGGGGGTCCCGCCGGGCTCCCAGAGGTGCGGGGGTCCCGCCGGGCTCCCAGAGGTGCGGGGGTCCCGCCGGGCTCCCAGAGGTGCGGGGGTCCCGCCGGGCTCCCAGAGGTGCGGGGGTCCCGCCGGGCTCCCAGAGGTGCGGGGGTCCCGCCGGGCTCCCAGAGGTGCGGGTCCCGCCGGGTTCCCAGAGGTGCGGGTCCCGGCGGGCGTGAGGGCGGACGAGCGCTACGGAGCCGGCGTGGGGTAGCAGCTGCGGCCACGGTCCCGTCCGGGTCGCGGGACGGGAACCCCTTTCCCACGCGGACCAGCCATCCCTCTCCAACCCCCTCCCACCCCCGTCTCCGCCCCGCGGCGCCCAGGGCGCCCCTCCTGCCGCTCGGTGGTCTTCTGAGCTTCCCGAATTCTGGAACTGGACCGCGCGCCTCATTTACCGTCAGGGCGAAATAAAGTTTAAAACAAAGGAAAGGGAAACTAGCCTTACCTCCCCTCTGGTTCCCAGGAGATTTCCTTCCCCACCGGTGCCTGTCCCCGCCGGCCCCTCGCCCCATGGCTGTCCCGGGGCCTCCCGCCCCTCCCGCCGCCGCCCCCGCCCCAGCCCCAGAGCGGACGTTCCGAGAAGAGGAGCCGCCCGGACCCCGGGGACCCTCGGGCAGCCCCGCAGGCGGGCCCCACCTCCACGCGCTCCTCGCGCAGGCGGATGCGGCCGGCCAGGCGCTCCCGCGTGCCCACGTCGGGGTACTGGTTCTGCACGAAGAGCGCCTCCAGCGCCTGCAGCTGCTCCTCGCTGAAGATGGTGCGGTGGCGCCGCGTGCGCCGCTGCGGGCCGGGGCCGCCCGTGCCGGGCAGTGCCCCGGAGCTTCCGGGCGGCACGGCCAAGGGCAAGGGCGCCGAGGGCCCCAGCCTCAGCGGCCACGGCAGCCGCGCGCCTGCGGGGCGAGGGCGTGGTGAGGCGCGGGGCGGGGAGCGGGGGGCGGGGGGCGCGCTCTGCACCGACCTCGCCGTGACCCCGCACCTCCCGCGCCCGCGCCCCGCGGCCACTCACCCAGCCTGGCGGCCGGCTCCGGGGGCCTCCGGGGGCCGCAGCAGCAGCAGCAGGCGCAGGGCGCAGCCTCGGGCGCCCCGGGGTCCCCGGGCTCCGCAGGGCTCTGGCGGCCGGCTGGCTGCGGCGGGCGGGCAGCCCGGCCCTGGGGGCGTCTTTCGGGCAAACTGGAGAGGATGTGCTCGATGGAGAAGGGGCAGGGCTGCCCGGGGCCCCTGCGGCTCGTCGCACCCCCCGCCGCTGCCATTCCGGCCCGGCCCGGCCGCCACCGCCTCTGGAATATATACGTCGGGGGTGGGGGGAGCGCGCGATAATCCCCGGGCCGGGCGCCTGGTCCACGCGGGCTAATCCCGCCGCGTGGCCGGGAGCTCGCTAATCCCCAACAGCGGCGGCGGCAAATGCTGTCCCGCCACGGCGCGCGGGGGCCAGCCGAGCCTCGGGGACTGGACCCGCAGGAAGCGCGGGGAGCCTCCCACCGCCCGCGGAGCCTGGCCGCCTCGCCGTGCTGCTAGGGTAGCGGCCCCGAGGACGCCCTCACCCTGGCAGCCCTCGAAGCGCAGCGGGCGCCTCTGGGCCAGACGCTGGCCCCCTCCTCCTGTAGCCAAGGAGCCCGGGGCTGCTCCTGGTCCCCATCGGGACCCTATCGAGGCGGGTGAACTGGTCAGAAGAAACCCACCCAAACTGCGCAGCCTCCTAGCCCCGTCACTACTGGGCCCCAACCTCAAACGGGGCAAAGCCAGGATCCCAACCAAACTCTTGGGCCCCAAACTTCCCACCTGCTTCAGAGCCCAGTCTTAGCCTCCTGGAGGAAATAGGGGTGAGGGCAGGAGCTGTGTCCCCAGTTCCCGGCCTTCTCTCCTGGGTCAGGGGAGCCTGTACAAGCCCTAACTCACATGCCATTGGTTTGGGGGCTGGGCAGTGAGTGGGAAGAACCTGCTGAGACTGACAGTGTGTCATTGAGGCAAGTGAGGGAAATGCTTTTGGAACATGGAGCGAAGGAGACCCTGGTCAGAGCGGCAAGCATTTAGCAACATTGTGACCTGCAGTAGAGCAGGACATAGGGAATGGACAATGGACCTAATGAATGAGAGGATCTAGCTAAGGAGCTGCCCAGCGGGGATGCTGAAGGAGCTGCCTGGCTTCTAGTTACCCTCAATGAATGGAGAGGAGAGAACTGAGCTGCAGAGGGAAATGCTAAATACAAAGAAGCCAGCCTACTGCATTAAACACAGCCAGCTGCATGAACCAGCAGTTCCCTTCCTGGGGATGTACCCTAGAGAAGTGAAAACTTCCGTTCATACAGACGCTGCCGACGAGTGTTTACAGCAACTTTATTCATCATCGCCAAAGCCCACCAGCAGGTGAGTGCATGCATGCACTGAGGTCCACCATGCCAGGGAGGAACCCAGAGTGACAGTGACACACAACACAATGGACCTTAGAGACATGGTCCTGAGTGAAAGCCAGTCCCAAAAGGCTGCATCCTTGTGATTCTATTTATGTGACGCTTTGGAAAAGGCAACGTCAGAGTGACAGAGACAGATCATTGGTTGGGGTGGAGGAGGACCAAAGTGAGTTGTTTAGGGTGAGGGAGCACCCCAAGGGAGACAGAAGAGGAGAAAGGAAGATGCTGAGAGGGAGGCCAGCTCCACTCCAGCTTGGGGTGTCTGGGGTCACCTTGACTGAGGTTCGGGGTGCACAGCTTCCCCTGCCAGGGTGCCTCCCATCTGGCCGACGCTCCAGTGAGTCACCAGCTCACATCTTGGGGGTGGAGGGGTCCTGGGTGGGGCAGGGGGCACTTACCCCAGCCCTGCTGTGCCCAGCCCACTGCTTCTCAAATTAGGTCCGCTGCATTCAGGCTCCCCAGGATTCTGGTTGGGCACAATCTCTGGGCAGAGATAGGAGAGGAAGGGTGATGGATAGGTTTTGGCCTCTGATGCTTGAGTTGTGAGGCTGTACCAGGCTCCCCTTCTCCCAGGAGTGGTGAGTGGTGTTTACTGAGTTAAACACAGCCAGCTGCATGAACCAGCAGTTCCCTTCCTGGGGATGTACCCTAGAGAAGTGAAAACTTCCGTTCATACAGACGCTGCCTACGAGTGTTTAGAGCAACTTTATTCATCATCGCCAAAGCATACAAACCCAGAAGCCCACCAGTGGCTCCCCTGGGTTGATCCAGATTCTCATCTTCGAGGTCATCCAGTGGACGGGGAGATCTAACATCCGCCTCCCAGGATCTCTGAGCTTGGTACCCCTGCCAGTGCAGGGACCCCGCTGCTGTCATGAGAGCTGAGTGGCCCAGCAGCTACAACAGTTTCTGTTTTGTGCCACTTTTGCTGTGTTCCTGGGGAAAGCAGCCCCTCCAAGACCCAGAACCTAAAGTCACAAGGATGTGAACACAGATTCCCCGGCTGGGTCCCTGTGAATACTGGCGAGTGGGGCTCCCCATCTCCACCCCCAGGTCCAGACCCATGTTTTCCAGGAATTGGAAACGCAGCACCATGTCACAGCAGTTCTCTACGTGCCTCTTCCCTCTACTTCCTTGTCTCTGAAATGCTGGCCTGGATGTCCAGGCCCCAGAACCAATCAACTCAACTGTTTGCTGTGGCCCTCGGGTCCCTGTCTTCTGTTCCTCAGCACTGTCCCTTCCACACCATGTGGATGACTGACGTGCTGCTCCACGGAAGCCCTGCCCTTTGGGGACTTTCCCCTCATCGCTCCTGTTCAGGGCCACCCGAGGTGTCAGCAAAGGAGGCCACATGGGTGTGTCAGTCACTCGCTCAGGCAGCTTGCTTGTGTCTGGGTTTGCTGGGAGCGGGTCCCGGCAGTGCCTCTTCCACGGTGTGACAGCACCTCAAGCTTTGGTGGTTCAGACAGTCTCCAGCTCTGATGAGCCATTTGGGCCACATGGTCACTTGACAGCCCAAGGTCAGATGCTCAGTTTCTGCCAGGGGCCAGCAACATGCAAGGGGCCGGTTTATGAATGGCACGTGGTACAGCCTCGCTCCAGAACCCTAGGAGCTTACACTGTAACTTTCCCACCAAAAACCACCCCAAGACCCCACGTGACACCTTTCTCTGCTGTAGCATTTGCCAGGGGTTCTGCCAGGTCATAGGGCTGCTTGTGCCAAAGCCTGGGCCTCCTGTAGACTGCTTTTCTGCTCTGGGCTCTACTCAGAGCAGGCATGCTCTGTCTCGTGCAACAAATGGCTGGGGCAGTATTCCTAAATTCAGAACATGCTGCCTCCAAAATCCAGAGAAACCTGGATAGGACTGACGCTCTATTTACTGAGCCAAACTGGCCAGGTCAATAAGGATGAAAAAAAAAAAAAAAGATTATTATTGCCCTAACCGGTTTGGCTCAGTGGATAGAGCGTTAGCCCTTGGACTGAAGAGTCCTGGGTTTGATGCTGGTCAAGGGCATGTACCTTGGTTGTGGGCTCAATCCCCAATAGGGGGCGTGCAGGAGACAGCTGATCAATGTTTCTCTCTTATCAATGTTTCTAACTCTCTATCCCTCTCCCCTCCTCTCTGTAAAATCAATAAAATATATTCCTGTATAATAAAAGCCTAGTATGCTATGTGTCTGGTTGTCCAGTTGGACGTTCAACCAATCAAAGAATAATATGCTAATGATATGCTAAGGCCGCTCAACCGCTTGCTATGATGTGCACTGACCACCAGGGGGCAGACAGTAGACCACTTGCTCAGTTGCTATGATGTACATTGACCACCAGGGGGAAGATGCTCCAACCTGTAGGTGAGCTTGCTGCTGCGGTCCACTGATCAGGACTGAGCTAGATGGGATGGACATGCCCTGGAGCCCTCCCACAGTCCCTCCCTGGCTGGCCAACCTCCCGTCTTCCTTCCTGGTCCCTATCATGCATCGGTGGGGTCCCTAGCCTGGCCTGTGCCCTCTTGCAATCCAGGACCCCTTGGGGGGATATCAGAGAACCAGTTTTGCCTGATCCCGCAGGCCAGGCCAAGGGACCCCACTGGTGCACCAGGCCTCTAGTTAAAAAAAAAGATTAGCCCGGCTGGTGTAGTTCAGTGGATTGAGCATCATCCCATGGACCAAGAGGTCCCAGGTTCAATTCCCAGTCAGGGCACATGCCCAGGTTGTAGGCTTGATTCCCAGTAGTGGGTGCACAGCAGGCAGCTAGCTGATTGATGTGCCTCTCATTGATGTTTCTATCTTTCTCTCCTTCTCCCTTCCTCTCTGAAATCAATAAAAATATTTTAAAAAAGATTATTCTTTTCCCTGTTGTATTGTTTTTGTGCTCCATAAATGAATTGAAAATCAATTGACCATAAATGAGAGGGACTTCTTTATTCTGAATTATTGATCTATATGCCTTCCCTTATGGAAGAACTACACTGTCTTGATCACTGTAGCCTTGCAGTCAGTTTTGAGACAGGGAAGTGTGAGCTCTCCAACTTTGCTATTTTTCAACATTGGTTTTACTGTTCTTGTTCTCTCGAATTTCCATATGAATTTTAAAATATATTTTTATTGATTCCAGAGAGAAAGAGAGAGGGAGAAATAGAAACATCAATGATGAGAATCATTGATCAGCTGCCTCCTGCACACCCCCAAATGGGGATCAAGCCCTCAACCTGGGCATGTGCTTTGACTGGGAATTGAACCTGGGACCCTTTGGTCCTTGGGCCTCTATCCACTGAGCCAAACTGGCTAGAGCCTTTTATGCCCCATGCTCCTCTGTCCTTGTCTGAGCTCTGCCTCCAGCTTTGGAGGGTTCCTGTGTGAGTGGCTCCATCACCCAGGACAACGCTCCAAGATGGGAGCTGCTGTGTGCCATCAGCTACCTACACTCAGAGAGGCAGATGGATGCACTGACCACCGACGGGATCTGGACAAAGCCCCCAAGGCAACACCCACCAGTGTCTACTTCTCCCTTTCAGTGAAAGGCCCGCCTTTCCACCAACCTGCCTGGGTAAACACACACCCAGACTCCTGGTCACCTTGGTAAACGCACACTTGTCTACCCAGGGAAGTGGCCCACCCACTCACCCGTGCACCTTGGTAAGCCTTCACCTGCCCCAGCCCCAGCGCTGCTGAAGCCTCCAACCCTCCAACAGTGCTTGGTATCTCCCTTGCGTCCCACCCCCACGCCCCATTTGTTCCATTGTCCACATCTGGACCTCCGCACTGCCCTCTTCTCAGTGCCAGCCACAGAGGCCTGCCACCTGTGCCCCCACCATGGCCGTCCAACCCACTCCTGGCCACTT